TGTTGCCTAAAACTGTAAAGTATAATAAACTGAAGTATGAATTGAACCAATGTTTTATGCTAATTGTGTTAGGGCTGTTAAAGTATTCTTAGCATATTTTAAAGGGTGTTTATCTTCAAAGCGAATGAAAACTGCGAGGTAAATTAGTAGGCCTATAATCATTGTCACCAATTCTATCAATATAATTTCTAAATACCAGTAAGATTTAGAGGTTGTATTATATTTTCCATGAACATGAAGTTATGCAACAACTTGATTTAGGAGAAAGGTAAGAGAAGAACAATTTTCTATTGAGCAACTGCTTGTCTTCCTTAAAAAATATTTGGTATCGGTTTTATATGGGGTAAGACAACTTGAATATATAACAACCTGGTCAAATATATATTCTTATAGAGTAGGCAACGCCCTCTTTAATTCGCTTTATTTCACTTTAAGGTACAGATAGGCTACTATGAACAGCACACACTGAACTGAGCTCTTGAAAAAACAGCAGAATCTTCTAAACACGCCCTTATTCCCATGAGACTTGAACGCCGCATTAATCACCTCACTTGTGGGCGTGGTCTGTTCTAAGGGGGAGGAGTTGTTTGAGAGCTTGTGTGTGCGTGTTTTTGTGCGCGCGCGCGCGTGTGTGTGTGTGTGTGTGTGTGTGTGTGTGTGTGTGTGTGTGTGTGTGTTTGCTCCTCGCCCGACTGTATGAGCTGCCTACAGTCTTCTTTGCGGCCACTGTTTTCGCCTCCTCCTCCACCTTCTCCACTTCCTCCAGCCTCTGTCTATCTGTCCAGTCCGGGAATGTTGACCACCGTGGCCTGATCCATCCAACGCCGCCGAGTGTCCCTCTTCTCCTGACTGCCACTCCGTGTTCGTCTCTGAGGGTCGTAGCCTGCCTCTGGTTATAAGGTGAGTGCATGTTACCGGATGAAGACGCTGTTCCCATGCCTCTTGTTGGGGGGTGGGCATAACAAGTCCGCGGGGAGTTGGCATTAGCGCGTGTAATAAAAGTTTAATATGCTGTTGTGATTATGTTTTGCGGGTCGGAACACATGTGCGCACTGCGCGTTTACCGCCTCGCGGGACCGGTCCGTGCCCTTCTCTCTGACAACGTAGCGGCCAGTTAGTGAACTTTGAAAACAACTTTATTCATCGGGTCAGGCTGTTGCATTCAGCAATATTCACTCTACTCTATCTTTTCTAGTGGGACACTTCCACCGTGCACTGTTCCGGGGTTAGTTTTTCTGAGTCTCGTGCACCTTGCTGCACCTTTCTCAACCGTTACTGTGATTCGAGCGTCTCATGGCATGGGCAACACTATTTTGATCCCTGCCTTGTTTACGATTGCGTAACAGCAGTTACCCTACAGTGGCCCATAGCCTACTTTCTACCCCGTTGGACTCCAGCCCCCCCCCCCCGACCCATTCACAGACTCAATTCTGTGAGAGTTCCGCCAGTCTCGTCTTGTCGCCTTATCCTTTTGGCAGCATTTGCTTTGGGGGCGGGGAGTGGGAGAAAGAGGCGTTTTCCCAGGGTTACTAGCCCGACTGCAGTGGTTTCCAAAGTGGGCTCCAGGGCCCCACAGAGGGTTCTTGGGTGGGTTCCAGGGGATCCTGGTAAAGTGAGGAACTGAGAGGTTTTCAGTTTTTGGAGCGAGCACAGTAATGCAATAAGTAGATGTTTGTAATTACTGAACTGACTATAACAAGTGTTATCAGTGCACTTGTTAAGCAGCTCTGGAGTACTAAATGAATATAAGTTCAAGAGCGCTCCCAGAGGGAGTGTGTTGGGAAGTCTTATCAAACTGAAGTGGGTTTGATGTGAAAATATTTAGGAATCTCTTGCATACTTATCTCCCTTCAAGCTGTCACTCAGACAAATGCTGTAAATGCATTCTGTAAGTGCACCACTAGTTTATTGTTAGATTGTTTTAAATGATAACTGGAGGTAGGAGGCGTGTGGCGCAGTGGATTAGTGCGTTGGTGTTCGGATCAGGGGAGCACAGGTTCAAACCCCACTGCAGTCAGCATGTCGTTGTGTTCCATGGGCAAGACACTTCACCCCAAATTGCTCCTGTGGGGATCGCCCACAGTACTAAGTATGTAAGTGGCTTTGGATAAAAGCGTCTAACAATTAACATGCAATGTAATCTCATATCAAGTCAAAATACGTTCGATATTGCACGTCGTGGGTTTGGAGCAGGTCTTGAAAATCAGACCCGTGCAGGACTCTGGCGGGGATGCAATGTAGACAGGTATAAATGCAGATCATCCTCTGGCTGCAGCCTTGACCGGTACTTGCGTTTGATCAAAGTCAATGCGGAAAACCCGCACTCACACAAGTAGGAGGAGGTGAAGGGAATGAGCACTTTTTCAGCATTTTTGGCGAGTTGGGGGAACTCTGTCTCCATAGACAGCCAAAAGTGTGCAAGTGACACTTTACTCATCTTTTTCTCGTTCTTTTTTTCTCACGCTGCGACTCCCCTGAAGCTCTCTGGTGCCCCCCCACACTTTGAAAACCGCTGATCTAGACCAACTTTATATGTAAAAGTCTCGACAAAGCAACCCTTCATAGATCTAAGATTTAATCCGTCCTGTCTTTTAGGCATTCTTCCAAATCAATTTCTTTATTGGCTGCATGCAGCTTCTGCAGAAAGTTGCATAACCAACCGGATTTATGATTCTGGGAACTATCGATGTTGGCCTGTAGGTTTTGAATGCAGATCAGGTTTCTCATTGAAAAAGTGGAGTTGCGGATGAAGGAAGAACATAGGGACTGATATAAATGCTAAGACGTTGTAAGTAATGCATCCCAAATCTGTCCTGTCAGAGTAAACTTTCTTGGGAAAAACTAGTTGAAATGCTGAGATAACATTATCTCTTTAATGGTTAAAGAGTGTCTGGTGGTTTTGAGTCCATGTAGGCATTAAATACATACTGCCTTAATTACTATTTGGTTAATTAAAACTCTGTATACCTTAAAGGTCCCATGACATGCTTTTCCGGTTATTACCCGTCCCCTTGTGTGATATGTAGCTTTTTCTGCATGTAAACGGTCTGCAGAGTCACAAACCCTCAAAGTACACCCTGTAGCGAGTAAAACTCTAACACAGAAAATACCTGTCTATGCTGCCCCAGAACGCCTCGTTGGAGATTTTTCATTTTTCAAATTTTTCTTCCGGGAACCAATTGAAGTGACCACCCATTGGTCCAAATGGACCAATCCGTGGAGCTCCTCGTACATACACACTCTCTCAGCGGCGAAACTGCGACGCGCTGGGGGGGTGCTAGTGTAGCCTTGCAGATTGGAACATTGAACAATGTAAATCTATTCTAGTATACCTCAACAATGGAATTATGATCAGTAGAAATGGCCATGACATGGGACCTTTAACTAACAACTCTGTTAATAATGACGGAAACCATAACATAATTATCTACATACTGTATGTGTGGCCTCTAATTAAAAACCTTGCATTATACTCGCTTTAATATTCAATTAGCAGCCAGCATAGAACTGAATAATTGTAATTATATGTAATCAAACACTCTGCGTTAAATCACAAGAACTCGGGAAACCAATAAATGGATAAACATGATATTTAATAAAAAGCTAATAACGGGCCATTTTCAATTGAATCATATTATTTCTGTTCTGGCACCACTTTTTCTCTTTTTACAGCTTTTCCAATGACGTATTTCAGAACGACCAATCTGATCTGCTTTTGTATAAGGGCACCCTACCCTGCCTAGTGGTTAGAGTAAATCTGTAGTAATGGTTACTACAAACTAAAGACCCTGTGCACCAAAGCACTGCAGGGGGTATAATGGTAAACGTATGAGAACAGAACATAATGTAACATTACCAGCACTCATAGAGCCTCAACCCCCCTGACATCCAGAGGGGACAAAGAGAAGAAAAACTCCCAGAGAGCATCAAAGTACCACCACGAGCTGTTCCTTTCCTGTCTGCAACATCACATTAGTTTTAAAAGCACCCTGCTGGGAGCCCAGGGAAAGGTCAGCCGTTCTGCACAGACAAAAGGGAGACTTCCTGCTGCGAGACACTCGGACAGGTTCCAGTTTCATGTGCATTAGTTGACCCCCCCTCTCTTCCATCGTCTCTGGACTAAATCCACCAGACTCAGGGACAGTTTCATCCCATTGGCCATGTGACTGTTAAACACCTGAACCTGTGAGAGAACATCCATAACATTCATCTGTTTGCAACTTCAATATTCCAATTACTTGTATATAGACTATTCTGCATAATTTATATTATATTTTATTTGTACTTACTTGCACTATTTTACCTTTTTTATTGTGTTGCATTGGAGGAGCCTGAATGTAAAATGTGCAACATGGAGGTTGACAATACTATTAATGACAGAGCTGATTCCTATGTTTTTTAATTGGATTTAATTAGCAGAATGATACTCTAATTGTTGCTGGGATGGACGTCCATTTGACTGCAGCCTTAACTGAAATTGAAGATTGACTAAAATACATTTTCCTGAGCGGGATGATGCAATCTACTCAAAAACATTGACTTTAAATAAATGTATTATGTCAACACATTCCACATAACTGTATTAGGTTAGTTGTAAGCAATAATATTAAGTTGAATCTAATAGTTTTGTATTTAAACGTAAAACTATTGCTTTCAACTAACCTAATACAGTTATGTGAAATCTGTACATTTAATTAAAGTTTACTTGTTTAAAATGTAATTTGTTTTAGGTTGACTTATGAAATCTGTCCAGGGACTACAGATGAAAAATAGCCTCTTCGCTAATAACTCTGGCATTTTTACAGAAATGTGGATTAATGTGCACTGTCCCTGTTAAATAAATGAATGCAAAAAAAAAAGTAATTTGTTCTGTTTTTTCAGCAGTAAGTGTCTCTTTTGTCCGTAGAATCACAGGTGTCACTACCTTTGATTCTACGGACAAAAGAGACACTTCCTGCTGTGACACTTGGACAGCTACGGTTATACTTGCAGGTGCATTGCTACGGGAAGCTATTCCTGAAGCTTTCTGGCCAGGATGTCGTCATTATGCCGGCCACTTTCTCCCGCTGACTGAGAAAAAGGTCAGCAGGTGTGCTATGGTGAGTGCAGAACAGGTACTTACAACAGGGGTAATTGAGCAGTACGATGTCGTCCAGCGCGATGTACCCCTGCCGCTCCTCGGAGACGGTCGCTTCAAAGATGACCTGTGGAAGACAATGGGTAAATTAAATGAACACAGACCGTTACATCTTGAGTGGCAAGTAGACAGACAATATAGGAAATTAGAGGGAAGGAGTACAAAGGCCTGTCGAAAACAGACAGATTTTCCATTAATTCCATCAAGAATTAAGAAAGCTCCATTATCCGTTATCTTGAAGGTTTTGTGCTAAAGTTTTCTGTATTTTAATATCTTAATAGTTATTGGCAGGGCAACCTTTTCTTCTCTTTACAATTGCATAGGGATATATTTATAATATCAATATTTGGTTACTGTTGTCCATCAGTTTTCCATTAATGGGCCATCAAACCTCAACAATTTAGAGCCGAAAAAGGGCCTTCAGAGCTTTAACCGTCCTGTTGTGTTCATGTTACCCCCCTTACTTTGGTGTTCGTGGTCAAATTTGACCGGTCCTGTTTTAACTGCTATTACATTAACACAAAAACCATTAATCATCACCAAATTTCTTTTAACACCCTTTCAAACTGTAAGTACGTGTATCAGCACTACTGGTATACCATGAACAACCTAGACAATTAACAGTATTGCGC